ATATTCATATTAAAGGTAAATCTGAAATAAGGATATTTATACTTATTTCCTTTATTTTGATGGGATTTTAGATATATATAAGTACAATATGTAATTCTTTTTCCATTTTTTTTTCTGCACCTGACAAGATAGGAATACACGTGTTGAGAATATTTAAATCTAAAGTAAATCTGACGCAAGAATGACAGGTATTATGTTCCTTATTTTGATATGATCCGGAATATATATCATGTGCAATTTTTCAAGATATTGTTGTGCACCTGAAAACAACTGAAATATTGTATATTTTAATATGAATAGAGTTTTCAATATAAAAATCTCAATTTTTGAGAGCAAAGCGAAAGGAAGTGAACACGTGAATCAAGGTAGCGCACTTTTGTAAATCATTTTATCTTTGCATGAAATATTATTTTTGAGTTTTCAACCTTTTTTGCTCACTCCTTTTAATCGCTACGATATTTATCTACTTATGTATTCACATTAAAAAGTTCCAGTCTCAAAAAGAAAAAAAAATCTTAAATAAATTTCAAATAAACGAATTGTAAATCAAGGTTAGTTTATAATATTTGATTGAATGAACATTTTGAAATGAAAATAAATAATTAATGTCAAGTGTTATGAAAGTTATTGACATTTACCAATGGTTTTGATCATGATAATCCTAAAAATAAGGAAATGTCTGTATATCTTCAAAAAAAAATATTTTTGCTGAGGTGCAGTTTCGGTTGTACTGTTTTACAAAACATTGCGAATGACTTCTGACTTTAATTTCTTGATTTCTATTTCATGTTTTTTTTAAAAAAAAATGAATCATGTATCAATCATAAATATAAAGTATGAGAAGAAAGGATCTGTTTTTGGTTTTTGATGATGATCAAATTGTTTCATCTTTTGGTAATTTGATGTTTTAACTCCTTCGACTTTTTTTAAAGTATCACGAGAGCAAAAAAAAAAAAAACCACCCTAGAAACTTGATAGTAGATCACTGAGTCAAATGCTCTTTTTTCATATTTATTGTAAGGCCATTATTTACTCAATGAATTGTCGACTGATTTTCCTTAATATCCCGATTATGACAAGTAGCACACACGGCGGGTGTGAGTGTGACCGGTCGGCAGGGGGTGATCTTCTCCATTGTGTCCACATCTGATGCATCGGAGGTCTGTGTTTACTCTGCTCCAATTTCGTATTGTTAAGATGACTCTTAAGATTGAGTATTGTTCGTTATCTCCATATATATTTCATTCCTAAAACGAACACTTTGATTCGTCTACATCTTTCTTCTACCTCATTTCTAAAATAAATCAGAGCTCTGTAAAGAAAAGATCCGTGTTTTATCTCTCTTTATCGGAAAATTGTTGTATGGTTTCTTAAGGGCCTTTATCTTCATTAACCTTGTGAAAAGATTTAATTTTATTCTACCTTACTAACTGTTTCTCACTAGGATCTTATCTTTGCCTGAGAGGGAACTTAAGATTTAATTCTCTAATTGGTACACAAACGTTATACTCTAGCTTAAAGTATTAACAAGATGACATGAATTTGATCGGGAATTGAACGAAAAGTGCCCTCCTTTCCAAAACAATGAGTTCACAGTATATCAATTAAATATAAACCTTGTATAATTTCCATCACCTGTCCTAAGATTATCATGCCAAAAGGAAGTAGATGATAATATTATTTTGATAGTAAGACACGATTTGAGGATAAGCATTCCGGAACTGTCCGTACAGCACAGTCTTATCGTTTTGTTTTAGTCTATGAACGTGGTTTCATCTCCCGCTAAATCTACATTTTATTTTAGGTGTAATTTAAAAGTGCTTGGGATAATAATTTCTGAGGTAAATTTACAAACACAAATCATCATTAAAGCATTCCACAAAATCATATTTAGTAGGAAAACTTTTTCAACTATTTCTTTTCAGCTGTGCCACTTAAAGTTGATGGCTCATATCATTCTGTAGCAAAATGAGCCTTGAATATCTTTATTTATATATTCAGATCTATTTGAAACGAAGGAAACAAGGATAACAACGGAATTACATTTTTATATCTTTACTTAAATAATACATAATTATAAAATAAACCTTTTTTCATTGGATAACTTTTAAAAAGTGTCAAATGCACTTCACTTCTAACGCCTAAAAATAGCAGTGGATTCCTGTGGTTTGATAAGAAAAATCTTCATACCGTAATTACTCAAATATAAGTCGGTTTTTGGGGGAGTTAAATTTTTGTCCAAAACTCTATGTCCGACTTATAGGCGAGTCATAAAAAGATTGGTGTACAGTGTATTTCTTAAAGGCGATATGTAGTACGATATTTTATAAACATTTCTGACGATTATCATTGAACAGAGTCTGGTTATATTATACAGGGTGTTTCACAATATATGTCACACATCTAAAGACAGATAGATAAATGACAACAAAAGCTGTATATACATTTTATATATCATTTTAATCAGCATATATTCAAAATCATTTTTTGGAGTCAGAAGTATCCAACACTCTCTTCATCAGTTACTATGGCAACCAATCCTAAAATGTTATTCTCCAAGTGTTTTCCCAACATTGTTATACTGTAATCGTACTTTTTTCCACGGGGTCATAATTCCGCGGAATCTCAATTTCTGTTTAATCCGCGGGTAGAAAATTACGCGGATTTCTTAGACTGTCACTATATGCCATACACTTATATTAAGTACGCTAGGACATATTTCCGCGGAAAGTTTGTGTTCGCGGACATAGCGTAAATTAATACCACGCGGAAAAAAGTACTTCTACAGTAAGTAAGTCATGAGACTAACGCTTAGACATTTCTGACCACTGTTTTGTAAGCTTCACAGGATACTTGAGACTTTTCTTGTTTAATATCTGGCTCTTTAGAACCCACAAAGTGCATATCTATTTCTATCTAAAGTTGTATTTAAATGAAAGTATCATTTCAGAACTACCGGTATGCGTTAACTAGTGTCCCCTTCTTTCGCTCTTCCTTTCAGTCAATCTTGCAAACTTTAACCGGCTCTGAACGTCCATTGGCTTTAGATGCTGAAATTTTGTATGCAGACACACTTAACTCAAATTTAAGATTTCTAAATCATGAAAATACACTTGTAAAATACACTTTCCGGCATTGTTACAATTTATTTCCTTAAACTCGGATCTAACTTTTATGAGGTTTTCTCAGTGATTGACTTCATTTTGATATTGTTCTCATCTATTTTGATTTTTGTGGGGGGGGGGGGGGGGGGATTTAATTGTCTTTCATCTTTACATTAGAATTTAGTTCAAACTCTCTAACTATTCTTATTAATATATGAAAACTAGACAGCAATTTCTGATCTTGATATTTTTCATCATGGTCTATATTCAGATTATGCCCATTTAGATGTGTGACATATATTGTGAAACACCCTGTACATGTATCATATATGTATTTGAACACTTGATAAAGTACAAGTATTTACATATTTTAATAACTTTATTTTGCATTTAATACTTATTCTTTTTAATGATTTAAAATTACATTTCAGCTTTTTTTCTTAAAATATTAATTGAAACCAAGTTAAAATTCTAGAATATTGATTTGAAATTGTCAGCATAGTCTGGTAAAGAGTTGTACCGACTTATAAGCGGGTCAATGGCAAATCCCTCCAAAATAATCTTTAAAAATACAACCGACTTACAGGCGAGTATATACGGGATATGTAAATGTTTGAATTCAACCATTTGAGTATGTCTTAAAAAAGAAAATCCAAGTCAAGGACAAAATGTATCCTAAAATATACAATATTTTAGTTTTGTCACAAAATATATCATTAAAGATACGAAATTTTAATTTTGTTTTTAACTTCCCTTACTTATGCAGCAAAACACCGTATAGATAGTTATTTTAGCGGGGTGTTAAATTTGGATTATTTTTGCGTTTTGATCGTAGCCTGCTAAAATTTTAATCGCTTAAGAATTCAGTACTCTTCTTAGTGTTTATCTGCAAAGAGATAAAACTCCGTGTCCGTTAAAATAAATAACGTCAAAATTATTGGCATACCTTTGACCAGGCAAAACGCCAAATTTTACACCCGCCAAGAAAACTCGCTATATGGTACCTTCATCACATGCATACGAGGTTTATTTCTCAGAGTTGATTAAATACGCAAGAGCATGGTCTACTAATGAACACTTTTAAAAAACGGGGTAAGTTATTGGGAAAAAAACCAAGTTGCTGAAACAAGAATATCAGCAGCCTCGTTTAAACCCATCATTTCCAAAGTTCTATGGTCGATACAATGACTTTGTCAGCAAATATAGTTTATAATTAAGTCAAGTGCTGACTGACGTTTTCATGCCATTATATACACACTACATTGCAGACAGATTTTCCTGTTATTTCCCGATCATGAAAAGGTGCACACGGCGGGTCTGATGGGTCGGCAGGGGTGCTCGCTGCTCCATGGCACCTGATTCCACCTCTGATGTTTTGGAGGTCCGTGTTCGCTTTGCTTCTATTTTGTATCGTTTGATGGACATTTGAGCTTAAATACTGTTCGTTACCTCCATATGTTTCATGAAAAATGAAAAAGAAAACAAAATAACTTAATGGATGACATTTTAAGAACACTCTGTTTTGCTCAAGATGAAGTCAACGGCAATAAGTATAATCTTAATATCAATAGCTTTCAAATTTCAGAACAAAATGAAAAAAAAATCTTAGAAAATGAACATCCATACAGTATTGTACTTAGTAAGAGATAAAGTCAATTTGAGATAAATTTGATGAAACGGTGCAACACTTGTCTCATACATTTCCCATACATTATTTCCTTTTTCCTGGACATATGTGGCCAAAAACACACAAAAAAGAAAAAAATGAAAAGAAAACAAGCAAAAAAAAACACAGGATGAAATGATTACTTTTCAGTTATCATTGTAATTGAAATACAAGAACATTATATATTGCACATTTAGGAAAATGTTAAAAATTAACACAAAACAGATTTCAAATGTTATAGTTTATTACATGAATACATGATTTATATTATCCTTTTCGAGCATTCAGTGACATAGCAAATGCCGCCAAACCTCTCCAAGACTCTCTACAATTTGGTTCTATTTGATTCTGCGGAAGCACAAAACCATGTGCACCGGTATCTCTCAGTTCGATGGTGTAGGAATACTTGACACCAGCGCCACCTTTAGCCCAGTCATCTGACCCTCCTGCAGCAGAGTCTGTAAAAATGAAAATAAAAAAAATGTATAGATATGAAATTATTTTTTTGGGTCAAATATTTCCTTGGCATATCTTAGACTTTTCTTAAATAGTATAATTGTCAAATGGATGCATGTTTTCTTCAAAGAAATCGTGTCATGCCGAAAGTAAATATGTTGTAAAAATGTCTTAAATATGTTTATGAAAAAAAATATAACTTCATCCGTCTTAGATAATAATAATGTAAAGTTCTTTTTTAAACACTTACACAAGACGTTTGTTGAAGATCCCACTGTATATTGCGTGCCGTAAAGCTCGGAGAGAGCTGATGTCCCTATCTTGGCAGCTGCGTCCTACACATGCAAATTTAATACATATAAAACTTACAATTTACAAATACAATAATGCTACACATTTTCTTCTTATATATATATTCTTTGATATAACATGAAACAAATATATTTTAAAGAAGATAGAACAACTTTCAATTGAGATAAAGGTAGTGCAAAATTGTAATTTTTCTTTCCTCATTTTTGAGCCATTACTTATTATTTTAAGATGACTCTTAGACGTCACACTGCAAGATCACCAATTTCCAATTCAAGTTAAATATGCATTTAAAGAATAAATAAATAGATGCGAATAATTTTATTTAGCCTCAGGTGAATTTGGAAAAAAAGGATAATTGATTACAAATTTAGGCCATCTGTATAATAAAGTTTGCCCTCTCCCGACACAAGGTAACTAATTGGGCCAGTAGATTGATGGGAAAATCCTTTTTCGAGAATTTATCAACATATTTGTTGACGGGATAAGAGGAAGGAAAAGAGAAAAAACATCGGGACCTGGAATGTAAATATGAGTCAATCCATTTTAGTCAGTCGGAGAGGGAACCAAACATTTTTTTAAGGTGGCCCTACAGTATGCTATTTTCTCCGCTCAAATTCATACCAGATCCTGCCAGTCGTCAGGGAGAGCACTAGTATAACCCCAGGGGTAGAGCCACATCTGTCCGTAGGAGTGGTAGGTGAGGTAGGCCACCATGTTCTGGTTGTTGTTTAATAAGAAGGTCTGTACTGCTGTGCTCTCTTTCTCCGAGAAGGCATTGGTACCAGAGTAGACATCAGAACACACGTTTGTACTACCGCCCACGTCTTAATAGAACCACAACATATTGTAAATTTGTTGGAAATATCAACTTGACAGTAAAGTAAGAACAGGGATTCCAATGCTTCATAAAAATCCCATCTCCATTTTTTTTTTTTGTAGTATTTTTTGTTTATTTGCTCTGCCCGGAATAATCATTGTTTCAATGGGCTTTTGAACTTTATTTCTGTTCTTTATGCAAATATTTCTTAGAATAAGGTGTTGATGATTAACAAAACATTATGCCTTTAATATTCGTTATGGATGCTATGAGTGACAGTGAATTGAAATTCATTTTTTATTGATTTAACCAAGTTAAAAATGTCTGTGAAATATATCAAAAAGATAAATTAAAAAATGGATTTTAATCTCATGAACTACAATTTTTTTGTTGGAACAAATTGGAATATGATGTTGAAATATAATAATGGACTTACTAGGATTCCACTGGTATCCAAAATTTCGGTTGAGATCTGTTCCATAGCAGTTCCTACCATTGGGAACTCTGTTTTTCCTCCAAAGCCTGTACTGTTTATAAATATATTTATGTATAATTAAAAAAAATTGGTATGTTTTTGAAAATTACAATTTGTTTACTAAATAATTACATGTTGCATTTTCTAATGTTTCAGTTTAAATAAAAAGAGAGATGAAATCAAACGTACAGTTGTATGTGAGTATTCATAACCATCTGGATTAAGAACAGGTGCGAAGTACCAGTCAAATTTATCCAGTAATTGTGGCGCATAGTCAAACTCGTCCCCGTATACCATCTAAAAATAAAATATATATTCACCTCTCATATATATATATTCAGTATGTAGTCACCTACTCGGAAAGTTTTCGTATTAATAGCAATTCATATTAATCTAAATAATATTGTTCACAATACTTTACATACATGTACATTAACACATGTATATGTTTATTACATACCTGGTTAATGAAGTACAAAACTGTTGCGGGGGATATCCACTCACGGGCATGGATTCCTCCGTCAATGAAAATTGAGGGGCGGGACTGCCCATCACCTCTGGAAACCTAAGTATAACAAATTAATTTTATAAAAATGAAGATATACCGTATCAGCAAAATTAAAGCAAGGAATCAATTGTGGCATTTTCAGAGTTTTTTTTTAAATGCTAAAATGAAATATCGCTTCAGATTCGTTCTCATATTTGTTTGTTTGATTGAATGTTGCTTAACGTCCTTCTTGAGAATTTTCACTCATATGAAGATTATAACCTATATCGCGACTAGAGGACACAAAAACTTTTGTTTCGAGTTTCTGTGGTCAGACTTAACCATATGGATCTCTAGCTCATATTGAAAAAAAGGTCCATCTGAAGTGTTTTGTGTGTACATTAAATTTTTTGTCTTATGATCTTCTTTATAATGCGTTTTTAGGTAATTTATTTTTACAAAATTGTCTTTTTTTTATACTCACCTTTAAAACTTGAATTTCGTTTGCTTCAGAACTATATCCTATTGTACTCAACGATGCATTGACAGTGCTCATGGATTGGGTAGCCGTCACTACATCTGCCAGGTATTGTTTGATCTACAGTAGAATTGATGTATTCTTGTCACTGAACATATGCAAAAAGTGCGATGAATGGAGATTACAATCATGGTATGTTTTTCATTTTAATTTCTTTTAACTATATGAAAAGTGTGAAGATCAAAACCGTTACATGCATTTCATTTTGAACATATTTATTCGTAAGGTCAGACGTCGTGTTCCATAATAATGTATTGTGTGATGTAATGTAAATTGTGAACCAATGTAATTGTTTACTTGGTTCGTTACAAAAGGAGGGGAACCTTACCGAATATTTGTGTAACATACCCGAGTATGTAAATTACTAGATACAGGGAATCTATTTGGGATAACCGTCAATTATGATAAATTTACCCTATTTATACTTTTGAAGACATTTTGAAAAATAGTTTAAAAATAGATGTAACATATGGAGACATCGAACAGTGTTCAAGCGCAAAAGTCCATTAAACAATAAAAAATAGGATCAGAGCAAACAAGGACCTCCAAAACAGCAGAAGTCGGATCAGTTGCCATGGAGGACTGAGCATCCCCTGCCAACCGGTCACACCCGCCGTGTGCTCCTTGTCATGATCAGGAAATAACGGGAAAATCCATCGTCAATTCAGTGTGTAAATAATGGACTAACAATTAGTATGAAAAATGTCAGACAGCATTTGACACAATGACAGATTGTACATGTATCTGCTAACAAGGTCTTTGTATCGGCCATAGAACTTACGTAATGATTACTTTAAACGAGACTGCTGACGTCATCAATTTGCCTGTTATAAATTGTTCGTAACTACATATCGAATGAACCGAGAAAACATAACGGAAGTTGACGATTGAAAAGTTAAATTCATTAAGTTTTCCTAAAGCTTGGTTGTTAAATAACCGTTAACGTCTTTATCAAGTAAAAATATCTTAAAATAAAACAAAGATGCTTCAGAGTCTGTGGTGATTCTTTTATATCGTACAAACAACCATAATTGTTATTTGTTAATTGGCCATACGTTGTCGATGTACTAGTAACTAAATGTCGAGTTGAAGGCCACAGATGTGTTTTCTTCTCTTGATGTATATGATTTTGACAAATGATATGATTCATATGAATACAAAAATAAGTATTCTAATAATGTGGTTTCATCAACTTCTTTTTATCAAGACATTCCTTCAATCACTATCCTTTTTGGAAGGAACTGTTACATTTTGAGAGAGATTTTATATATACAGTTGCTAAGGTTTACCGTAGCAAAGCGATGATATGATAAATGATCAAATACTGCATTCTTCCCATGTAGAGGAATCGGAAGATGGAAGCTTCTTTTTGCTGGTTGTTTTTCTTCATCTATTAACCTTCAAAGTAATCATGCATGAATTGTTGGAAAAAAATTGTTCATAGGACTGATATTTATTGATTTTTGACTTAATAAAAAAATTACCTACATGAGATCTTTGATGGACTTTAGAAAGGTACTGATTAAGTAATTAAGCATCCAAAAAGGGCACAAGTTTACTATTTGAACAACTCAAATATTTTTACCAGAAAACTTAGAAAAAATTAAAGTTTACTGACTTTTGTAAATCATCAATCCAAATTTTAACGTCGGCTCCTATGGCTTTGATTTCAGTCAGTACATGATCCAGCTTCTCCGGCTCAACATACACATCCATTGAGATGTTGTTTTTCCTTGGGAGCCTCCATATATCCAGCTACATCGATATTCAATATTTAAAAGATCAAATGCGAAGTGATTGATTCTGAAAACTCTTAAGATCCCATTGTTTACTATTTTGTTTACTGTGAAAAAAATGAAGATCAAAATCAGCTTCCTATCGCTTAAACCGTGTAAGCTGTAAGCAGAAATTTTTACAAGGGTAACATGGTTAATTTTACATTTTTTGATGCTGTTGAGATCGCTATTAATATCGCTGACCTTCTCTGCATTAACTGTTATTGTTATCTTTCAATGCATCCAGAATATCGCCAAATTTTTAAACTTATTTTCAAAAATAGATTGCTCAATTGACTTCTCGCTGAAAATACCATTTATGCATTTTTTTATCCAATAAAATCTGACGAAACGTCGATGTAGTACACGTATTTATACTCACATCCAGAAGATCGTGTAGCTGAAGAACTTGCTCCAATTGTTCTACATTGTGTGGGAGGATTTGTAACACCTTGTGTCTGAATTAAAGGGAAAGTTTCGGTCTATGTTAGAAAGGGAAAACAAAGAACAAAGATAAATTTCATGAATTTGATAAAAAAAAAATGAATTGGGATCAGAGCGAAAAAAATGGACCTATGGCTCAGGGGCCAGCAAAACTTGGACGAACTCAATTTTGATATCAGTTCTAACTTGTTCAAAAAGAATTATGAACTGGAAAGAGAAACAAAGACTAAAAGTGAGCTTGTCAAAGTTTTATGGCCCCAGAGCAGAGGTGAGATCGCTTGCAAAGATGGATAAAATAGTCAACCAGCCTATATGTTGATTAGAATTTTTTTCAAAAAGCAATTACGTTAATATTAAATGAGACACGTCAGACAAAATACCACCTAAAGATTTATTGTATTTACCAACTAGATATTATAATAAGAGTAATATTTGCAAACGGTCAAACAAAATTCTTGCGACGTCAACGTAGTCAGTAGCATGATTTGTTTGAAATTTATAATCATTACTTTCTGTTGCATACTAAATTGAATGGGAGACAATAACAGAAGATGTAAATGATGTTGCAATATTGTTTATGAGTTAACGATTGACAAGCTAAAGTAATAAGTCGGTCGTAATCATCTTTAGTAAAAAAAAAATACAAACAAAAAAGTTTGAGACAGATCGAAAAGACTATGTATTGTCCTGTTTTCACAGGGATATATCGAGTCAACATCTGAATGAAGACATGTTGTTCACTGATAATTTTAATCGTCGATATATCTCAATGTTGCTTTGAAGACCATAGCAAGTGGTTTTTTTCAGTAGGACGATTTTGTACAAATTCTGCTTGAAAATAATAATTAAAAAAAATTGTTCAGTTAGACCTAATAAATGAGCTCAATTAATTCCAATAAGAATTCCATAGGATTGTTGGAAGACAAATTCTTCAAAGACTGCATATAGTTTGTCAAGACACAAATTACCTTATTTATTTAAATTTCAATTTTTAGGAATGATTCAACGAAGAAATATTTTCCTTAAAGCCATATATAGTTATAACTTGAATAATCAAAACATGCTCGTGATTTCAAAGAAATATAACTAATCGCATACCCATCAAATCGTATAGGATCCGCCGACACAAAGGTACAAACAAACAACGACGCTGCAATTATGGAAATAGACATGGCCAACAAAACCGAATCCTTAAAAAGATATAGAAATGATAAATTGAAACAGACTTATTTAAAAAATTGAAAGTGATATATATGTTTACTTTTGAATTTGTTTACCAAAGATAGGTTTATTAAGTTAGAAAGAAGTGCCTTATAGAGGAAACTTATGTGAACCCTGTTCTAAAAGTGCAGTTCTTGCATTTTTATGTGAACTTGCTATAATGAACCCGTTAAATCAGTTCAGCTTAACTTTTCATGGAATTGAAATTTAATATTAAATTTATAACTTTACGTTTTGACAGAAGATGCGACTTACCGCCCCGTACTATAACATAAATTTGCTATTAGTAGATAAAATATGGCAATGAACTGTGGACCAATCGGCCAAAAGATAAGATTTTCGTGATCAAATTGGTCATTTTAGTGTTGTTAGACTCTATCTATCGTTCTGATTAATAGATACTCTGAGACCCAACGGAATAGGTTACGATAACGTTTTTTTTTTACTATTTATTTCCACTCCGTTTCATTTTGAATGATTTCTTCGCAGATAAATCTGGGATAATATCTTTTATTTATATAATAAAAGACTCTGAAAAAAAAACAAAGAAAAAATTCGCAATGACCTTTTCTCCCTAAAATATATTATATCAAAATGAATCGCTTTTTATGGCTTATGCAATTATTCCTCGGATAAATCAATGATCCGACTTTTTGACATTATATATATAGCGGAATCCACAATTCATAAGTAACCAACAGAATTTCCTATGTGGGGATTGTGCATTCACAAAATTATATTGTTAAATAAATGATTAGCTTGATCTTAAAAGCATGCTGAAATTCCTCAAAGACAATATATATATGTAGACGTTATATTATCAGTCATATGTAGGCTCGATGAAATATATGAAGATAACGAAGAGTAAACATGCTCAAAAGCCCATTAAACAAGGCAAAATACGAGCAGAGCAATCACGGACCTCTGAAACATCAGAGGTGGGATCAGGTGCAATGGAGGAATAAAGATCCCATGCCAACAGGTCACACCCGCCGTGTGCTCCTTGTCATGATCGGGGAATAACGGAAAATCCATTTTTAATTCAGTGTGTAAATAATGGACAAACAATTAGTATGAAAACTGTCAGTGAGCATTTGACTCAGTGATAATCGTATTTGATGACATGGTCAAGGTATCGACCATAGAACTTGCGAAATGATGACTTTAAACGAGACTGCTAATAGTCTTGTTTCATCAACTAGCTTGACAATGATTTACCTCGTTTTAGAAATTGTCCATACGTAGAGCATGTACATGCTCTTGTGTATCGAATCAACTGAAAGATATGAATTTTGTAATGAATGTATATACTGCTGTATAAGTAAGCCGGGAAGTTGACGATAGAAAAGTTAAAGTCATCACGTTTATCATAGAGCTTGGTTGTTAGATTACCATTAACGTCTTTTTCAAGTAAAATATCCAAATATGAAACGGATGTGTCAGACTCTGTGATATCTTTTATCTCAAGCTCACCTGGATATATCGTATCGACATAAGAATGGAAATAGCCATTGTTAATTGACAATATACTGTCGATATACCTAAATGTCGAGTTGAAGGCCACTGCAGTTGTTTCCTCCTTTTCACGCGACGCATAAGATTTTGCACAAATTCTGCTTCACATGAATACAAAAACGTTTAAGATTTTGGACAAATTCTGCTTCAATATACCCATCGAATTTTAAATGTCATAACTGCTTCGTAGTAAGCATTGCTTACTCAAAAATTAAATATAGAGTTGTAGTTAACTATAGTTTACAAGAGTAAATATATTGATATATATAATACATTGATATTTTGATTTACTATGAAACTTTAGAACTTTCCTTGAGATTGAGAACCTTTATATGCCTGAAATTACAAAACAATGAAATAAATCCTTTTTAAATATAAAAAAATTATTTGTAGGAATCTTAAAATTTGAAATAAACGTATATACCTGAAATCTATAGCAAAAATACTTTTGATGAACTATCGTGAAAACTTTGATTTACTGTAGTTAATTATAGTACACTATAATTAACTATATTACCTTACAGTTATAGAAAACTAGAGTTATCTATAGTACACTACAGTTAACTACAGTAAACTATAGCTCATTTTCGTAAACTAAGTAAAGGGGGAGTGGTGATTCTGTGTGTGTACACATTCTAAGAAGTATGTATTCAAGAATTGTCGCACCTGCAACGCTCCAACATCCACATCTGCGCAGTCTTTATCGTGCAAGCACCTACTGCGACACGTGACCTCGGTTTATACGGTCTCATTCGAAGGACCCGTCTCTACGTCCCATAGTGGGATTCAAACCCGCGACGTAGGGATCAACTCCTTACTTCGCGACGCTAAAGCAGACACTCTAACCATGCACTATGCCAGGTGGGAAAGTGTTGAGGTGCATTCTATCCATGCAATTTTAACTTCAATATTGAGCCGATTGAGTTGTTTATAAAACTGCTGGATATCAGCTTTTTACCACCTATGTCCGTGTCTTATTTGTTGGACATGTTTTATGAAAGTTATATATGTAAGGATATTGTTTTGTAATACACTTGACTATTTGGATGACCCGCTGTATGTGATTAATTCATTCAGGGTGCTCGGCGTATGTGACTGTTGAATGGGAATGCTCATTATACCTCATCGTCGTAAACCACGGCCACGATGCAAGATCGTCTCCCAGTCTGGAGAGAGCTATATGAGGACTCCGGACTGTGGCTTGAGACGATGATTATCCCCAGGCACTGGCCTAATGCCATAATGCCTTTATTTCTTTGTAACATGAATGAAAACGTAAAATATAAATATAAAAAATTAAATATCATTTTTCTTAGAGTTTCAATGGGGTATGACATGAAGTCGGTACGTGATCAAATCTACTATAACGCCTTTCGGGTGTTATAGAATTTGATCAGGTGACCGACTTCATGTCATACCCCAATCTTATTTCTTAAGTAACAATTATTTCCCTTTATGATTTTATTGGTGCAAAATGATTTTATTGGTGTAGACTTGACCATGTGACGCAGTTGATGCCTTTTATATTATCAAACCACATTTTTGTTTATTTGTTACCTTCCATCCTGCTAATTTTCTAATTATAATTAATATGGCCAGTAATGGGAAAAATCGGTTAAGACACAATTGTTGGATAATTACATTTACCGTGGTAACATTTTGCGTCGAGATTAAGCAAAATGCAACAGTGCAAAATGTAAAAACACATTTTTTGGTCAGTCACGTTGAGAATAATTTTTAATTCAGAAGTGGATGAAGAACACAAACGGAAAGTAAATGAAAAGCAAAAAAATAAGTAAATCAAATGTAAAATGTTACAACCAAAAAGTGCATTGTTACATTTTGTGTTACACCCAACTCAAAATGCAAAAACGCAAAATGTAATGATCCAAAAATTGTGTTATAAAATTTTGCTTTCATACATTCTACATTGGTCTCAACGCAAAATGTTATAACGCAAACTATAATAATCTCAGTTTATCACACTAATCTGTCTTGATTAATAGATATACTCTTACAAGGGGATGTTTAAAGCCTAGAAATATCGAATTATCTACATATCATTTTTTAAACCCCTTCATTCTTTATCAAGAAAAAATGTGTAGATGCATACAAGGGAAAATTCAGAATGGGCTTGCACACAAATTTTAAACTATCATAAGACTGTCGAAGCAATAAATTGCATTGAAGATGAATAATCATATTTTCAGGCTGATTTAATTTTGATTTCAATATCGGTTGTGAACAAAAATGCAAACAATATTGAAATTTTTTTTAACTACATATTTACTACATATTGACTCATTTACACATTGAAATATCTAAATTACGGCACATGATTCTTCTTCTCACTTCTTCTCACTGAAATGATGTTCTCTCTCCTTCAAGGATACTTCAACAGCCGTAGACTGTTTGTGGTTTGTAACTAAAGAATAAAGATTGATTGATTGATTATATGTTGTTTAACGTCCCTCTCGAGATTTTTTTTATTGATATGGAGAAGCCACCACTTGCCGGTGGAGAGCAGCAAATTTTGTCCTACACTCAGAACTTATGGCTATTGAGCAGGGAGGGATCTTTTTCGAGGCAGCACCTACTGCAGCACGGGACCTCGATTTATACAGTCTCATCCGAAGGACCGGTGTCCAAGTCCCTCAGTGGGATTCGAACCCGTGAGGCAAGGATCAACTTCTTCCTTCGCGTCTCTAGAGCAGATGCTCTAACTACTGTGCCACCGGGCGACTAATGAATATACCAAAGAAAACTGATTTTTTTTCAAATAACTAGCAAAAAATGTCCTTAATTACCCGGCTGGATTCTGTTTCTTTTGCTCCAAATATGGAGTGCGTCCTGGAATCCTTTTCTGAACTTCCCACTCATACCGGCGTAGATAACCGGGTTTACAGCACTGTTACTATAGGCGATAAACACTGCTACATATTGCAAGTCCTTCAGAAAAGAGGGCACCTGAAAGTGGTATATTATACATTCAACTGCAGTTCAATACTTGCATTAACCTGAGACTCAATATTTCAAATAAAAATGTGATTCTTCTTAAAAAATGTTATATTTTTAAAGTACTACGTCTTTTCAATTCTGCTCTCTGTTTACATTTTATTTGATTTACATTGCTTTTCTTCTAATTCAATTGTTCTTTACATGTGCATGTTATATGTTTTTCTTTTGAGTGCTAATTTATTGGTGTATATGATCACAGGATGGCAAAAGTTTAATCGAAATTCTCTGTAACCGAAATTGAAATGAAACTTTATGCATAAATAACACAATTAACTCAATTACTTGAATTGACTTTTTTAAACCACAACTTGAAATTACATGATAATTTCAATTGCAGGATATGTCATCCATATATTTAATTAGACGGTAAATTTTCTTGAAAAATAACCACTTCAAATCAGTTGTTGTACAGGAAGGAAAATAAATGATCGAGATAACAGGAACTTGTAATCAAAAGCTGACTTACTTTTAAACACTAAAAACGCAATAAAATGTTTAAAAGCGAGTAATTTGAAGGATAAGCTTAAGGAGGAAATTTATATCTTATTAGTTGACTCCCGCAAAGAATTTACAAAGATAAAGATAAATGATATTCAAAACTTAAGTGCAAAGCGACCTTCTTTTTTTAGACATATTTTGCCGTGAACGATAGTGACATTTACATGTACAGAATTTATTCACATTTTATTAATAAAAACTGTGAGGGGGGTTTGACGCAGAGGGAAACAGAGTTTTATAGTGTTTGTCTTTTTGGTATTCCCATTTTTTTTTAGCTATATTTTTCCGTTTTTTCCCCTCAATTTTATGTTTATTAGATTCGTCTTTAAATAATGGAATAATGCCTTCACTCGTTAATTTATTTAAACTAATTGTCAATTACAACTATTAAGATTTAATTATTTATTTTTCAAATAACAACCAGTAAGATTTAAAAAGTTGTCGAAAGATATGGAGACCACAGATTCACAATGAAATAGAATTGTTATTATTTGATGCAGAATTATTATAATATTTACCTTCAGTCTCTCGTTTCTGTACACCATGTATAGAATAAGGGCCTGTTGTGGCGTCCAGCAAACGACAAACACCGTAATCACTATAAAGAACATTCTAAGGGCCTGTAACAAGGGGGTGTTATATGAGCAAGATATTTCATTGTAAAATTACACATTTTCGTGGGGTCAAATTTTCGAGGTTTGAGTAAAATGTCTTGGTTCGTGGGGATTTGAATTCGTGTATGAAAAATTGTTGAGTAGTTATCCATATAATATTTTACATTTCGTGGTGGTCCTGAATTCGTGGGTCTCTTCATACCTCGAAAACAACGAAAATTAACCCCCCACGAAAATTTGTGATTTCACAGTATTTAATATAATAACAGTTATAACTAATTCAATTTATGTATTTTGAAAGAATCTCTATCAACATTATTTGGTATTATTTTAATATTTAATCTAGGGTAGGGTGGTGTAATTATTTGTTTGTACTTAAGATTTGTTAAAGAGAGAAATATACGGCTAACAAAAACTAAATGAATTTTTAACATATAACCTTTCTCCTGGCATTACAGTGTGCTCCGATATTAGTATTCCCTTCATATCCCGGTATTCGTCGGAGATAGAGTTTGATTCCAATTAATCCATACGCTACCAGCATCACAAGAACAGGAATAAAGTACATGAACACAGACAAGAAGACATAATAAGCTCGGCGACCTGGTTGATCAGAGGTACATTTCGTATCAGTATAAAATCTCGGCCAAATCTCGTCACACCAAATGTCCACGCGATTTCGCCATCTAATTTCAAGTTCTTGCCTGACTTCTAAATTAGGAATACTGGTTCCTACTGCTGCAATCCAGGAGAATGCTACTAGAGAGGCTAACAATTTTGTTGAAAAAGTGCCTTTAAGTGGAAACAGAACTGCAAAGAATCTTTCGATGGACAAAAAGGTAAGGGTCAATACACTGGAAACAACAGCTACAACTGTAAAACAAGCAAAATATGCCAGAACAATCATCAATGATTACAGTTCAATTACAAAATATTTGCTCAATAGAAATAGAATTAAAAAAAACACCTTACCTTGTACAAATGTTTCAAATTTACAAAGAAAAGATCCAAATGGCCAATTGTGACTTATCTGATTTCCAAGATGAACCCACATACAGAAGCATCCGACCAAAAGATCGGATACTGCTAGATTTATAATAAGAATGTTGGCGGTGGTGCGCATGCGTTTGTTGGCATAGATGGTAAATATAACAACCGAGTTTCCTATCATGTCTACTAAGAAGACTACAAAATAGAAGAACACTTTCATCGCAATATCGATGTAAGGAATAGTCTTCACTGGAGCACCATCAGTGTTTGCAAGAGCGGTATAGTCGATATTCGAAACAACTTTTTGTCCAACTATACTTGAACAACTATTCGACCACATTTGTTTATTGTGCACCTTGCGTGGAGATGGACTTTGTAATGGTTTAGTTAAAATCTTGTGTTCCTAGAGAAAACTTCAGAGATTTAAACATGTCATTCTTGCTGAAATACACATGCCTTTGGTTTGATTTAAGTACAGAACTGTCCCAATGTCGTAGAGAGGATGTATACTTTCATGCCTGAAATTAAAAAAAGTAAAGTTGTTAGTAATTTGCAAAAAATTATCATTATTATGACATGATCATCATGACAGAATTTGATACAGTCAAACCTTGTTAAATCATAAGTGATGGACTGCGAGATATCCGAGGGATATTGGGATAAAATGCAAAGAAATAGCTTGGACTTACATTGACTTCGAGATATCTATGGTATTCGAGATATCCGTGTACGAGATAATGAAGTTTATCTTTCAAATTTGTATGTAAACATCATTTTCATGTCTTTTTTCTAACGTTACTCCTTTTGTTATTTTATATGCACACTCAGCGGAGATGTAAACGGTTGAATAAGCTATAACATGTTTATCATGAACTTAAAATCATAACCCTATGCTTGCATTGTACATTGTGATTTCTCTCTGTAAAAAGATAATATATATATATATATATATATATATATATATATATATATATATATATATATATATATATCTCAAATGGCCATGTAAAAGGAAAAGAAAAGGAAAAGTACAATATTCGGCCTGTGAATTTCTTAAAAAATAAATCATCGTTTTCTTCAAAACTATTTGTGGTTTCCGTATCTATTCGACTTCGTCAATATGCAGGTGTGGGTAGTTTCAGTCAAACCGGACGGTGGCTTTTGCATCGTAACGGCTAAAACCTATATAGGTTGTGACTTTTCCGGAATTTTTCACCGATTTTACAGATTCGCTTTAAGAAATGCTATTCCTCTCGGAAACATCTAAAATCAAATGTATCTTACGCGTATTTTTCAACAAAATTTTTTGCATGTGTAAAATTAATATTTATGAAAGTCGTTTGCTCAGATGGCGCATGCAGAAAGCAAATTTCCCTTTTATAATTCCATATTATTAAAACCTCGAACTGCAATGATTAAATCTTCATAAAAAAAGGTTAATGTAAATTATGTAAACACAACCATAAATCCTTTTTAGGCATAGATACATTATTTATGCGTGGTAAATAGGGGTAGGCTAAATATATTTTAATAAGCCTTGTTCTTAGTTCAGTTAAAAACATAAAAAAATGTAGAGATGTATTCGCGTTAGTCTATGTTTTCCACATCTGCATGTCTGTTGAGGACCATTGTTTAACAGAAGCCCTCCACAGTACTTAGCCAGGTTATAACCAGAATAGGTCTATTTGCTTTGTGGTTTTTTTTCAACATTTGACAAGTCGTCATTTTTTTTTCTCGTGACGTCACAATGTGCAGAAAATGACGTCAAAGTTTTAGGGAACATCAATATTTTTCGTACTCGTAATGATTGTAGATCAATAACTCTAGATGTTCAAAAATTATCAATTTTGAAAAATGTAATGTTGAAAATTCAAATAAATAACATTATTACTATTTAAAGTTAGTACATAGGCTTACATGTACTCAATATATTCTGTGTGTTACATAATTATTATCATGCATCGGGTATTCTCTTTAGAGAAATGGACAAGCTATCATCCACTTCTCTAAAGAGTATAAGGCATCGGGTAGATCGCGAGCGATTAACTTGTAACTAAATGTCTTCAATAACATAGCTAAATACAGGTCAGATGTAGATGTTTACTGAATCTTTTTATGGGTATATTTTGCTCAGACATTGATATTTTTCATTTCGTCTGAATATCAAATGGTATCAGTGGCGGATTTAAGGGGGCGCCCCCCCCTAAAATTGTCAAAGTTAACGTAAATCACAGTTTCGTCTAGAAAATATAAATATATCTACTTGGTAGACCTCATTTTTACCCAACAAAATCTCTAGAACCCAGGAGCTTCCGGGGGCTTCGCCTTCGGCTATACATAGATAATAAACTTATAAATTTAGTATCAGAATAATTTCAAAAAGGAGGAATTGTTTCTATTCTGTGTTTAATGTATGAATAATTATGACATATGTTATAAAAAGAATGGTAAAAAAGTAGTTTCCGAGATCACTCATCATAGGATGTATTCACTTTGACAAAAAAATGACTTAAAGGAGAGACACCAGAACAATTTCCCGAAAAAGGTGACATCTAGAAAATAATTTTGTCCTAGAAGTTTTTCGGGGCAGGCCTGTCCCTAAATAAAATTGTGATATTGCGGTAGAGTGGGATGTAAGGAATAATTCAAGAAAAAAAATAGGGGCAGCCTGCCCTAGGGTTAAATTCACAAACACACAAACCCTCGCACACACAAAATAAGAAAATCTTATTTTAATAATGTGTTTTTAGTAAATGTTGTTTTAAAAATTCGTAAGCCGGGGGGGGGGGGGGGTTCACCCGAGGCACCGGCCCTGCACTTCTTACCAGAAAGCAGCGTTCTTATAGAAGTTTGCTAATGCTGCTCTCGGAAGTATTCGTTCAACGAAGTATAGGTATTGCTCGAAAATATTTGAAAATGTTGAAAAGCAGAAATATGACAGGGAAAACTGAAACTTTGTCTAGTGATTGTCAATCAACACGCTGCATAGATTATTTAAAATAAATCCATTTATTATTTTTCTAAAAACTTTACAATGGATGATGATGATAACATTTTGCTAAAACATTAGGATGATTACTTTGAGAAAAAGAATATCTTCACAAGTCCAGCTAAAATATCAAGTACCTCTTAAAGAGGTTGGAGAATGTGTATGGCCATTAAACATTATACGCAGTATTTTGACATATGTGGCTAATATTAGTTAAAATAAGAGCTGTACTTGGCTTTATATATTTATATATAAATATAAAATAAAATGATAAAATTAATGAAATTATTATTTTAAAATATATGTCAAATAATGTTTTTCTAATTGTATTTACGTGTGCCAAATGACTGAACGGACACGCTGTCATTTTCACTTGTGCATTGTACAAGTACCTAAGCTTGTTTATGCCTGGCGTTATAATTTCAAAGATATCTTTTATTAACAAAATATCGAAGTAATATCTGTAATATATTGTAAAAAACATTTATGTGAAATTCTCATCAATTAATTAATAAATTACCACTTTATTTTTGAGAACTCAGAAGTGTTAAAATTCACAACGTTATCATGACGTTCCGTAAATTGTACGAAATTCGGCCATATATATATGCTAATTTAAAAACCTCTTACAGAAAATATGAAAGATTTGAAAAAAGAAAGTTGTTTTGAAAAAATATATATAGATATATCAAGTCAAAATTTTATTTTGAAATGCAATTTGATATTTTTACTGAAGGCTCTTTTAACCTCATATATGATTTTTTTGCACAGCTGTATACAACTGTAATATATTTCAACAAGTGACAGTTTTGATCAAATGTGCTGATTATCATTTTTTAAAAATGTTTGATTTCAATGGAATCAATAATACTTTGCATATGAAACACAGAACCCAGCAATACCACTGACAATACTGACCAATCGCATGGAATAAACAACAATTACATGTAAATGGAAAAGTTTTACTTCCTATAATGATGATATTGATAGCTATATAGTACAACAATAGCAAGTAGCCATACTCATTCCATTCTTTAAATTTTCTTATACATGTTATACTTATTTAAAAACACATCCGGTCAAATCACAACAAATATAATACAATGTACATGCTTTTTTTGAAAACAGAAAACGGGCTTTGGTTGACCACGTGTTGCTCCTGACTACAAATGCCATTCGCGGAAACAATCATTCATGTGATTAGCAAGTATTATCGGGGTATTGTTGTATTCCGAGTTTCATATGCAAATTAGTATTGATTTCATTGATCCAATCGATGAGTAAAATGATAACCAGCACACAAAATTTTAGCACACCCCATCAAGCAAACTATCACGCTGTTTATAAAATGATAATACATAATGTTTATCTTAATTTTAAATTTGATCAAAATGCTACACATTTAGAAAAATGGCAATAATTGCTGACCTTTTCCTGCCATTTTAGCATTTCTCATATTAAATGATAATAGTTTTCTCATTTGTCACTTGCGATCGTTAATGCTGATTTTCCTGTGGATTTTGACCGGCAACTCCCAAGCAGAGTCAATAAAATGGATGTTTGCGACATCTTTTCATTTAAAGAAAAAGTACTTACAGGTAAACGTATGTCTCTGAAGGTCACGCTGTGGGTTATCTCTATGAGTGTTGTCTTCTGAGTTAACCAAGTACTTAAACTGTCAATAAGGGCATTCAATGACAACAATTTTATAGCGAATTAAACATGCATTTATTCTTTTTCTACAATATTTAACCTTTCTTTTGTTTGCACAATCTGATTTAATGTGAGATGCATTAGGTAGTTGAGAAAAATCAGTTTAAAAAGACAGGATGCCTATAAAATGCCCATCTGCATTTAAAATTTTAAATCCAATGTTAGCCCATCTACATTTGAAATATTAAATAGTTAATAAGAATTCCTTACATATATCCATTTTTATGTACGAAATATGGAGATAACATACAACATTCAAGGTCAAAATCGAACGAAACCGCGAGCAAGGAAACATCAGGCCTGGGGGCCATAAAACTTAGACAAGCTCACTTTTGATCTCAGTTGCACTTTTACCAAAGGAGTATATAGTGGAAAAGTGAGACTGAGATCAAAAGGGAGCTCGTCTAACTTTTATGGCCCTCAGGCCAGACTTTGATAAGAATTACTTACATATATGCATGTATTTGTATGAAATATGGAGATAACGTAGAGCTTTCAAGCTTAAAGAGGCCGGGTGGTCGTGGCCATTTTTAGACTATTTTGATCTCCTTTAGAATAAGAGCTCCATATAAAGATATAATAAAATGATTAAATTTGAAAACTAAAATGTATAAAATTTTTCTTTGCCAAATGACAGTTGACAGCTCAAGATATCATATCTAGAAAAATAAGTTATATCAGGTGGTTAATAAAAAAATAATCTGTTGACCCCCTAGCCTCCTTAAAGTT